TGACTGGACAGTCCCATTTGAGTTGATGTGTGATGCATCTAATTATGCATTGGCGGCTGTCCTAGCACAGAGAGTTGATAAGCTGCCTCGGGTAATATATTATGCTTCCAGGACTTTAGATGTTGCCCAAGCTAACTACACCACCATCGAGAAAGAGCTTTTGGCCATTGTTTTTGCTTTGGATAAATTTAGGTCATATCTGCTTGGTTCTCGTGTTATTGTGTTCACTGACCATGCAGCTTTGAAGTACCTACTAAAGAAGGCTGAGTCAAAGCCTCGATTGATCAGGTGGATGCTCTGGCTCCAAGAATTTGATTTGGAGATCCGTGATAGGAGTGGAGCACAAAATTTGGTTGCAGACCATTTGAGCATAATAGAGAGGTGTGCTAATGATGCTTCACCAATCCGGGATGACTTTCCCGACGAGGGTTTGTTTGCACTTTCTGCTTCTTTTCCAACATCTTGGTTTGCAAACATTGTTAATTATCTTGTAGCTTCTGTTTTTTTCCCCTTAGCATCCAGAGCTCAATGTGATAAATTTAAGAGCGGTGCTAAGTATTATATTTGGGATGACCCGTATTTGTGGAAGTTGTGCAGTGATCAGGTTACCAGGAGATGCATTCCAGACCATGAGATTGACTCGGTCCTGCAATTTTGTCATTCTTCTGCAACTAGTGGTCATCTTGGCATTCAGAGGACAGCTCGCAAGGTGCTTGACTGTGGTTTTTATTGGCCCACCATCTTCAAGGATGCGTTGAGAATTTGCAGCACTTGTGAGCAGTGTCAGAGAGCAGGAGGGTCCCTTACATGGAGACAACAAATGCCCCAACAACCCATGTTGTTTTGTGAGGTGTTTGATGTCTGGGGTATCGATTTCATGGGTCCCTTCCCTGTTTCTTTTGGTTTTTATTATGTTCTCCTTGTTGTTGATTATGTTTCAAAATGGGTGGAAGCCAAAGCCACCAGGACTAATGATGCTCGGGTTGCTGTGGATTTTGTCAGATCTAACATCTTTTGCAGATTTGGAGTACCCACAACCATTATTAGTGATCAAGGCACCCATTTCTATAACAGGTCCATGCAGGCCTTGCTCAAGAAGTATGGGGTTGTTCACAAAGTCTCTACACCTTACCACCCCCAAACTAATGGGCAGGCTGAAATCTCAAATAGGGAGATAAAGAGGATTTTATAGAAGATTGTCCAACCTAACAGAAAGGATTGGAGCAACAGACTGGAGGATGCTCTTTGGGCGAATAGGACTGCTTACAAGGCACCTATAGGGATGTCTCCCTATAGGGTTGTCTTTGGTAAGCCATGCCACCTACCAGTGGAGATAGAGCACCGAGCATATTGGGTTGTGAAATCATGCAACTTCTCACTTGATGAAGCTGGAGAGGAGAGGAAGCTACAGATAAATTAATTGGATGAGATCCGTTTGGAAGCTTATGAGAACTCCATGTTCTACAAAGAGAAAACTAAGAGATTTCATGATAGCTCCATAGCTAGGAAGGAGTTCTTTGTTAGTCAGCAAGTGCTATTGTACAATTCCAGATTGGGTCTCATGGGTGGTAAGTTACGTTCAAAGTGGATTGGACCTTTTGTTGTTACTAATGTTTATCCTTATGGTGCAGTTGAAATCAAAAGTGAATCCACAGAAAAGAGCTTCAAGGTTAATGGGCATCAACTGAAACCATTCCTCAACAATCCTTCTCTAGTGGATGTAGTTGTGGAGGAGATATCCCTGATTGATCCCACTTACCTTCCACCATGACTTAGGGAGTTCTCTTTTTCCTTCTCTTTACTTTTTGTACACTTGTCTAATTCTATAAGTAATTTACTTGCCTGATCTTGTGTTTGTGCTACATTGGGACAATGTGTTGTTTAAGTGTGGGGGAATTGGAGACTACTTTAGGTGTAGTAATTTAGGTTTATGTTTTGTGTATAGTTTGCATGCTTCTTTTGGATCTCTGGGTTTTGTTTATGTTATGGGCACTTTCTTCACTCTTGGATAGGAGTTGCTTTATGCTTTTTGGATTGAAATCCCTATTTTTCTCTGCTTGTCAAGTTGGTTATGATGTTTGAGAGGTTGAATTGAAGGCGACAATCTTACCCTTTGTGAGGAATTGAGCCATTATCTGTTCTTTCTTGTGTGTTATGCCTCTTGATTGCTTGAGCAGTAGCCTTGGCTTGACTCTGATTGATACTTCTTGATTCACATGCATGTTTGGAGATTATTAAGGCATTTTTGTTCTGATTAGCCTCTAGCCAAATGAGCCTACCTTGAATTAATTCCTTTGATAGCCCCTTTGAGCCTATGTTTCCCTTTATTTCTTTTGAAGCTCATTAAAAACCTTAAGTGAAAAATCATGATTACCTTAACCTTAGGGATTTTTGGAGCTTTGGAATTGTTTTGGGAATAAGTTATTGAATAAGTGTGGGGGTGCATTTTGTATTTCATTGGATGATGTACTGGCTAGTTGGTTATCTCTGCTGTACAATTTTTGTGTTTTCCTTTCAGTGTATTTCATGTCATTAAAAAACACACACACACACACACACACACACACACACACACACACACATATATATATATATATATATATATATATATATATATATATATATAAATAAAAAAAATAAAAAGAAGAAGAAAGGAAAGTTGTGGTTGAGGCAAAGGCGGTTGTGGAGGTTTGATATTAGAGGTTTTTGGGCATGCATCTTGTGCTTATTTTTGACTTATTCCCCATTGCTCCTCTAGTTCCTCTGATTCATAGCTACTTATCCCATATGATATCCTCTACCTTGTCCCTACCCCCATTATAACCTGAAAAGACCTTTTGATCTTTTTGTGCATGTGCGTTGGGTGTTGAGTTTAGAGGCTTGTCAAGTTTATCTCTTGTTTGCTTTTCTTGAGTATTTTGAGAGTATACAGTAGCCTAGACACATGAGAGATATAGTGCATCTTGTGAGGTTTTGTCACTTTGATTCACATTTTGACCTGATTGACCTCTTGCCAGGTTTTGAAATGCTTGGATGATTTCCATGAGTATCTAGTTTCTCTGACTCTTTGTGTGTTGGATGTTGTCTACTCCTTTTTTTTCCCAAGATTCATTAAGGATTGTGTAAATTTGTTTGTGTTTTGTGTGTCTTCTTGTTCCTGCTCCTTTTTGTTGTGTCACTCTCTTCGATGTCTTTGGAATTGCTCCTTGCTTTGCTTCTTGATTTTGCCCGGGAGTGCAAAAGGCTAAGTGTGGGGTAATTTGATGAGCCATTATTTTCCCGCATTTTCTTATCTTTCTGTACTTATCTTAATTGGTGCATTGTGTTTAATTGTCTATTATTAGTGCATTTTCATTGATTGGGCTTCATTGGGCCATTATTCCAAATTTTGCTTAATTTAGCATTAATTGGTCTAATTTTCGTTTCTAATTATTTTTAGGTATTTTTGGTCAAACAATTTTGGAGCATGGACATTAATATTGAGATGAAGAGAGTTTCCACATCATTGCCATGTCACTGCCACGTCACCTACCATGTCAGTTGCTATTTCCACATCATATTAATGATTGCCACATCAGCTAGGGTTTGTTTGATGTGTAATCCCGTGTGGGCTAGCTTGGGCCCATTCCTAGGGGACTCTAGGGTTAGGGTAGGCTGGTATTTTTAGAGGAGCAGCAGGAGGAGGAGACAGGCAGCCACTGGATTTCTATTTTACGTTTGGTTCATGTTGGTTTTCTCTGCACCTTAATTTGGATTGCTTAAGGCTCATTGATGGATTAATATCGTTCAATTTTGTTTTCTGTTGCCATGAAGAGTTTGCATTCTTTCACTTCTGTTGCAAAATTTCATTGTGTAGTTTAGTTCAGGCCAATCATGTATTTCAATTTTTGCTGAAATCCATTTGCTATTATGTTGTTCCATCTTGTATTTCAATTGTAATTTCTTGTTAATGGATAGCCACCACATTTTCTGAGATTCTTTTTGTTCTCTTTGGGGATTAGATTCACGAAAACATTCATCATTTGGTAATTTACGTTTTGTTCTTCTTCTTCTCTGCACTGGATTTTGTTTTTATGTTTTCTGCTGCATTTCTGAATTAATGGAAGGCTAAACCCCTTAAGGTTGGCTCCTTGAACAGATGACAATTCTCTTTGAGGATATTGCATTTCATGTTAAGTGATCTCTGTTTTATTTAGCTTTCCAATATATTGTCCCACAAGTTGCATTCAATCTACATTGATGCTTAATGAACTTGGGTTGTGTGTGAACTGCAACTTCAGTTCCATAGTTTACTTAATTTTGTGGGCTGGGATAATATGTTATGCATGTTGCTTAATCGTGTAGGGAAGTCCTGATCAATCTCCACTTAGTGGATTGGTGTTGGATGGAACAAGGTTGAGTAGGGCAGAGAATTTGTTGTTACCCAGGGATAAGAGACTTGAATCTAATCAAGGAGCCAAGCTGTTTCTACTACCATTTAGTTGTTAATCATTCGAAATTTTGCAACCCCCCCATTACTATTTTATCTGTTTGATGTGTAAATCTTTGATTGAAACTAATAGTCCTTGGGAGACGACCTAGGAGTCTGTTGCCTAGTACTACATTTAATCACATTTATTTGACCGGATACGGCTCCGATCAAGACTCAAAATGACAAAACAGAGCTATTACAAGCAATTTCAAATGTATATAAGTCTTCTAATCTTGAAGTCCTTTGTTCTTGAATCATCATCAAAATCTTTAGTCACCATATCCTTGCATTTTCAACAGTTGTTCTCCAATGGATTTATGCTACTGTATCTTCTACATTCTATATTCTTACATATGTTTTCTCACATGCTTAACCAAATCATATGATGGTTTTGTCATAGTTATGCAACAAAAAGATGACTTGCCAAATTTTTCAACATGTTCTTTATTGAAGATAGAAGAGACCATGATTAAGGAGCGAACAACTCGTGAATCTGGTTCCTCTACATTCTTAATCGTGGATGAAGGCTCTAATTCACATCTGCAACAATATCACAGTAATACCAATAATTCTCAGGGTCGACATAATACCAATCACGGCAAGCAAACCAATTGAGGTAGAGGCAACAACATCCACAGTGGCAGAGGCAGACGTGGTAGTGGTGGGGGTGCAGGTGTTGGAAAAATGGTGCACCAGAGCTGCCGCAATACTCAAAATATCATGTCTTCCCACCATATCAACATCCCTTCCTTAATCCTTGGACTGGATGGGCCCAACCTCCATGCCCTTATCCTGCAGCCTCATAGCAACCTTGACCTCCACGTCAAGCCGGTGTTCTTGTATCATGATCACCACAACAAGCTTACAACACATAAGTATCACCATCTAATGTTGGGGACAAACCTACAGACAGTAATGTGGCCATGCATACTTTTGCAATCTCCCAACCGAATGAGATATGGTTTATGAACACAGGTGCTACCTCTCATATGACGATAGATTAAGGTACACTCTCATATTATTTTTGTTCGAGCAAAGATCATAATATTTGTTGGTAATGGTCATTTGATTCCTATTTGTGGTCATGAAAGCACTACACTATCCCCATCCCACCCTCCTTTAAACCTAAATAATGTGTTACATGCACCAAAACTCATCAAAAACCTCATATTTGTTCGTAAATTTACCACTGATAATCTGGTTCTTGTTGAATTTGATCCTTTTGGGTTTCAGTCAAGGATTTGAATACGAGGAACCATCTAATGAGATTTAACAACTTTGCAGATCTCTACCCCATCCTTCCCTACTATTAGACAATCTCCCGACCAACACTTCTTTCAACATTTACAACTTTGTCTTCTTCTTTGTGGCACAGTCGTTTGTTGCAAATCTCTTTGTTGTCAAAATTTCTTATATTGTAATAAAGGCAATCATGGATTTTTCACTTCTTGTCCTCTTGGTAAACATGTGAAATTACCATTTAATGTCTTTTATTCTTTTATTAAATTTCGCAGATATTATTCACAGTGATATTTGGACATCACCCATATCTAGCTCTTCTGCCCATGGATATTATGTATTATTTCTTAATGAGTTTAGCAAATATTGGTGGAATTTTCCCATTTCTAAAAAATCACAAATTTATTTCAATTTTCAATCTTTCCAAAATCTAATTAAAACCCAATTTGAAAGAAACATTAAAAATTTGCAATGTGATAATGGAAAGGAATTTGCTAATGATTCGTTTAAAAAATTTTGTGAACAAAATGGAATGCAATTTAGGTTATCTTGCCCTCACACCTCTCCTCAAAATGGCAAAGTTGAATGACATATTAAATTCATTAACAATATTATTCGTACCTTATTAGCACACTCATTCATACCACTTTCTTTTCGGGGCCATGCTCTTCAAATGGTCACTTATCTACTAAACATTCTCCCAACCAAAGTTCTAAGATATCATTCCCCGATGAAAATCCTCTATCGTAAAAATCCAATATTTTCCCATCTTCGTGTCTTTGGTTGTCTTTTCTACCTCCTATTTCTAAATACTACGATCAACAAGTTGCAAGTCAGGTTCACCCCGTATGTTTTTCTAGGCTACCCATTAAAACATCAAGGTTACAAGTTTTATGATCTTTCAAGCAAAAAAATAATTATTTCGTGTCATATAATTTTTTATGAGACACAATTTCCATTCTCAAAAATACATGATCCATCTCCAAGAAAGTATGACCCCTTAAGTGAAGACACCTCTTTACACTTAAGCCATCACCTACAAAACTATGAACCACAAAATCAAATAACACAACCCGCACTGCCTCTTACACATACAGGCCCAAGATCTCAGCCAGCGCCACCCTCTCCTTAATATCCCTTGTCCTCACACCAATCAGCTCTCGATCTCAACAATTACTACTCCCTCTTCTCAAACCTCAACCCACTAGCCCATAATAACCAATTGCATGCCTCACCACATAACCACTCTAGTCAACATGGGATAATTAAACCAAACCCAAAATATACCCATAATTTGAGTGCCTTGACAACCACCTCTATTTCTCCTTCACCTAAGAACTCAATGAGTATTTTTCATGAACCAAACTGAAAAAATGCTATGACTGATGAATATAAGGCTCTAATTCAAAACAAGACATGGCAGTTAGTAACCTGTCACCTTTATGTAAATATAATTTGGTCTATATGAATTTTTAGACATAAATACAACTCCAATGGTTCTTTTGAGAGGTATAAAGCTCGTCTTGTAGGTGATGGCAGGTCACCAAAGAAAGGAGTAGATTATGATGAAACATTTAGCCTGATAGTGAAACCAGAAACCATTCGAATGGTTTTAACCATTGCTTTGCCCATATCATGGCCCATTCATCAGTTGGATGTCAAAAATGCATTTTTACATGGCAATCTAAATGAAACTGTTTATATGCATCAACCCATGGGTTTTAAGGATTCCTCTCATCTTGATTATGTTTACTTGTTAAGGAAGTCACTCTATGGCCTAAAGCAAGCCCCGCGTACTTGGACCAACGGTTTGCAGATTATATGGCCACAATCATTTTCAAACATAGTAAATCAGATTACTCTTTATTCATATATCATTAGGAGTCTGATATTGAAAGTGATGAAGATCTTATTGAATCATTTGATTAAATAAAGATCTTGTTGATTTAATGAAGTCAAAATGAAATCAAAGGCTATTCTGTTGCAGTCAAAGGTTACTTGGTTAAAAGGGTAGAATGATTAGTGAGTCTGCATCTATACATAGGTATAATCATTCATATCTCTCTATTGCATGAGGTTTCTTCATTTAAAATATTTTGCAAATGTCTCTAAAATGTGTTTAAACTGTTAAAAACAAAGTAATTTGTTAAATGGTTTTTAAGTAAAATGTTTTAACTGATATTATATGAGCTTTATTAGTTAAAATGTTTTTAACACTTTCAGTAATCGGTTTTTAACCGATAGGTTTTCGAAATAATCGATTAAAACCTTTTAAAACATACACTTGGAATTGTTTTAATTGATATATCTTCGAATTAATCGATTGTTTTCATTAAAAGATTTTTTGAAAACCTTCTCCCAGTATTTTAACTGATGTAGAATCGAAATAATCGATTAAAAAGACTTAAGACGTTTTGAAAAGCATTCTGGCAGAATTTTAATCAATACAAACTTGAAATAATCGATTAAAATAACTTGAAGTGTTTTGAAAGGTGTTATGTCAGTATTTTAATCGATGCAAATGCGAATTAATCGATTAAAACAACTAAGAGATTTTTTTCAAAGTGTTTTAATTGATTAAAACAAGTCTGTTATCAGTTAAAATGACTTAGAAAGCTTTATACAACTTTTTGGCAGAATTCTAATCGATTAAAATGCGAAATAATCGATTAAAACAACTAAGAGATTTTTTCCAAAGTGTTTTAATCGATTAAAACAAATTATTATCAGTTAAAATCACTTAGAAAGTTTTATGGAAACATTTGCAATATTTTTATCGATTAAAAGGCAAATTAATCGTTTAAAACAACTTAAGGGATTTTTTACAAAGTGTTTTAATTGATATAAAAGTTGTTGTATCAGTTAAAACAAATCTGGAAAATGATCAAGAACATTTTAACAGATTAAAAGAAGTTTTAACAGATTAATTCAAGACTTTTAACAGATTAAAAGATTGTTTTAACAGATTCATTAAACCAGCAGTTTGAAAAATTCTTTATAAAAACAGGATTGCTTGAGTCTTTTAAAATATACTTTTGAGCAATCAATCAAGCAATCATAAGAGCTACTTTTAAGAAAGAATCACGTAAGTTTTGTGAAGTTTTTCGAAGTTCTTTCTTGAGGCAATTTTTGCATTCTTTTGGTGAAGAAACTCATTCTACAGAGCTGCATAATCTGGGTTTGAGTGTTCTAGTGTCTTATCTTTGATTCTTTACTTTTCTTTACTGTATTGTGGGTATCTGGAAGTGTGGGCACTGGTTTCTGTGGCTGGAATTTGGCTGCAGGGTTGTTCAAGAGCTGGAAGTTGGTTCTTGGTGAAGGTTTAGGTGCAAGGACTGGAATTTTGGTTCTTGTGGTAGATTGGGTGTGTGATTGGAATTGTAATCTGTAAAACATTCAATCTAGTGGAACTCAGCTGGAATTTGGCTGGGAACTAGACGTAGCCCTGGGATTGGGTGAACCAGTATAAATCTTGGTTGTATCTTTCTAAACCTTTCTCTCTTTAATTATGTTGTTGTCTTTATTTTTTATTGCTTACTTTTTTTGATTCAAGAATTGGTCAGGACTCTTAATCTTTGAAATAGATAATCTGTATATTGCGAAAATCTTTCAAAGATCAATTCACCCCCTCTCTTGATCTCAGCCTACTTTTCTAACAGATATTGCATATATTATATTGTATGTTGATGATATTATCCTGGTGGCTTCTTCTTACTATCTTAGAAAGTCTACTATGTCATTCTTGAGTGCAGAATGTTTCTCTCGTAGGAAAAGTATACAGAATAAATTTTTGAAAGAGTAGGGATGACTAATCGCAAAACTTGTCCCACACCAATTGACACCAAGCCCAAACTTGATGCTTGTAATGACATTCCCTACGAGGATCCTACTAATTATAAACGTCTTGCTAGAGCATTGCAATATCTCACTTTTACAAGGTCTGACATTTCTTATGTGGTACAATAAGTATGTCTTTATATGCATGATCTCAAGGAAGAGCACATGCACGCTCTCAAGTGTATTCTATGTTACATTCAGGGTAATATTGATTTTGGCTTGCATTTGTACAAATCCAATACTAAAATCCTCCTCTTTTACACAAATGTAGATTGGGGTGGCTGTCCGGATACTAGACGGTCTATATTTGGGTATTATGTTTTCCTTGGTGATAACTTGATTTCTTGGTCGTCCAAATGAAAACCTACATTATCTTGTTCTAGTGCTAAGGCTGAATATAGAGGAGTAGCTAATGTTGTTTCTGAATCTTGTTGGATTCAAAACCTTCTTCTAAAGCTTCATTGTCCAATTCAAAAGTAACATTAGTGTAGTGTGATTTATCTATCGGATAATCCTGTACAATATCAATGCACAAAACACATTGAGATGGACATACACTTTGTACATGAAAAATTTGCTTGTGACAAAGTTCATGTCCTTCATATTCCATCCCACTATCAAATTACTTATATTTTCACCAAAGACCTTCTGCACGTACTCTTTGATGATTTTCGGAACAATCTAAGTTTTTGTCAACCTCTTGCTTCGACTGAGGGGTGAGATAAATATTATTATGTAGAATAAGTTTTTATTATTTTGAGAATATTTTGTAGTATTAATTGTCTAAAGATTAGCCTAAATTTTAATTTGTCAAGTATAATAGCAACCCAAATTATAACTTGTATTTTGTATATATTCATAATTAATAAAAAGGAAAATCAGGAATGATTTCCTACACCAACACCGACAATACCTGCATGAACCAAACACTAGAATGATATTTACAAGATTTTAATAATATAACTTCAAAACATCTTCTCAAAACAAAATTTACATCATTGTCACATTTAAAAATAGATTTACCTATAGAGGTATTCAACCCAAACAAACAACACAAATAAAAGAATCAGGAATATATCTCATGTATGTTATAGACAATATATAAGAACTTAGGCATGACTAAATATGCATAAATGTTATCTTACCAACACATAATTATAAAATCACTTAATTAACTTATACATTAATGCTCTTATACTCTTAATTAATCTAAACCCTATATCATAACAACATTTTCAATATAGTCTCAAGAACAAAACTACAAATGAACTAGTCGAGATAGTATTAAAAACTTTCTTATTTGATCTTTTAATGTTACTCTAAGTTTGTGTTTATTTTTTTTTTTTAATTTGATAAAAAAAGTAATTTGTTTGATTTATTTGTTCAAAGATTTTGAAAATTTAAATATTAGTTCTATGATAAACCATTTATTGTATCTAATTATTCAAATACTCTATTTTATTATTTTCAATAAATAAATTTCAATTAAACTATAATTAAATTATTTATTTATTGAGTTAAAAATTTTAAAAAATATTATTACACATGTATTTTTTTAAAATTTTAATAAAAAATAAAAACATATAATTAGAGCGGTTAAAATGGACGACTCAATGTACAAGTAAAACAAATTCAATGACTCCAGTTGGCTATATTTAAAAATAAATCATAAATTTTAGTCTAACCTAATCTTAGATTAACCAACAGACCAATTTTTAACACAAATTATTTTATCTAATCAAACCTATTTTTTTGAAATATTTCGTATTAATACATAGAACTAAATCTATTTCAATCCTCTTATATATAATTCAAGAATTTATAAATAAAATATCTTTGTAAGTTTGCACAAAATTAGACAGAGAAAGAAAAATAAATAATTAATCTATTTTTATTGATTTTTAATTTTTATTACTAATTAATCTCTTATTTTATTCTAATTAATTACAATTAATAATAACACATAATCGTATCTTTAGACGAATATAGAAAATAAAATAACATTAAGTTTATTGAAATCGCAAAATCCCTGATTAAAAACTTTTTTCTTTCTAAATTTTTATCCAGTAATTAAATAAAAATCTAAATATTATTATAACTTCAAAATTTACACAAATAATGTTTTTTATCTAAAAATTCGAAGGAAAAAGATAAAGTAACATAAACGAAACCTATTTCATCAGAAGTTTTCGACAAAGTCAAACTAGTTTCTCTTTCTTCATTAAAGATTATTTACACATTTTGAATAACGTACTGATTTCTCTTTCTTTATTAAAGATTATTTACACATTTTGAATAATTAAATAAATTCTCATTCTTCTTTTTTTAAGTATATATAAACAATTTTAAAATAAATTCTAAAAGGAAAATTAAAAAACAAACTTTATTTTTAATTTTTTTAACTCGAGTCATTATATAAGAAATCTTGAAAATTAAGACATAAAATTAAAAAATATTATTATTATTATTATTATATAAGAGAATATTAAAAATTGTTATAATTTTTTTTATTATTTTTCTTATATAAAAAGTTCAATCTCAAGAATAGAGTTGTTGAAAAACATAAAATTTTGATAATAATAAATTTTATATCTTATATTCTTATTTATACTCTAAATTTTGTTGTTGTTGTATGTCAGGAAATATTCAAATAATATGTTTATAAAACTTTTTCTTGAACATTTTCATTATCTTAAATAATGTGTACGTAATAGTGTCATACAATATCTTCCTCAAAAATTTCTCTTAACCCTAAATTAATGGATACTAACTATATATTACAAACGAATATTGTGAATCAAAATCAATAATTTAAAATTGTCAAGGGGTCGCATATTTTTTTCAAAGCATCAAAAACCAAATTTCACTGATTTTACAGGAATAAGAACAACGAGTTCAACTTTTAGAAGGAACGAAATGGATGAAAATAAATAAATAATTAAATAAATAAAAAGATAAAAATAAATTAGGTGATTGAAAGTATATTTAACCAAATTATTTAATATTGAAATACTTATATCAATTTCATTATCAATATGACTTGACTCCATAGTTAACCATGGTCAGTCGCCATATATACATAAATGCATATTAAAGGAAAGTTTAATCCCACAAACATCGGGAAGGCTCACAAGTTTTTCTTCTTGAAAGTTTAAGGTTGGTCCAGCAACCCTAAGACAATTGCAAATATCTCTTATACCTTGACCATGGGGAATGCCCATGGCTCTTTTGAATGCTTCACTTGCTCCATTACAACAATCAGTAGTTGGACTAGGTTTGACATTAGCCAAATAAGTTCCACAAAAGGTAAGTAACTTTTCATCCCCATTGCATGTTGGAGGAATATCAGAAACAGTGAGTGTTGTTACTGCCAAACCAAAAGCCATGGCAAACATCACAAAAGCCAAAACATTCTTACCTCCCATCTTATCCAACTTTGCAACTTTCTTTTCAATATTAATAATGTGCTTTGAACAACATTTGTGGCATAGAATTGCTTAAATATACACTGAGTATTTAATTATATGACACGTTTCAGTTTGTGTAATATTGACAAATAAGTTTTCAAATCCATATAATCAAAGAATTGCTTACATATATAGACTTGATATTTAGTTCAAGAATAATTTTGAATCCTTTTACAATCACTTTTGATTTTTTTTCTACGGTAAATATTAAATAAGTTGACCAAATTAGTTACAACAAATTATAATATTAAATGATAATTAATTATTGCAAATTTTAACTCCTAAGAAAACACGCACATTAATGTTATTGCTAAATGACATTTAGGACTTGTTTTTTTATTGTTTGAAAACAGTTTTTAATTTTTAATTTTTAAAAATTTAAAATGCTTTTTCGGTAACGGTTTTGTTAAAATAGTTTCGATATCTGTTTTTTTTTAAACTAAGAACCCCAAACTGATAAATTTTTTTTTTATAAGTTTCTGTTTTTCATGTGAGTAACATCTCTTAATGGAATAATTATATTAAATCACTTATTTTTATTATTATCAAATTCATTTTTTTACCTTTTTACTGCGACTTTTTATGACCATATATATCATACTTATCTACCTGATTTCTATATTTATTACATTTATTATCTATTAGATATATCCTCTGTTAATCCTCTTAAATATATATTATGTGAAATAACGCATAAAAAAATATTCTTATTCATTTAATTATTTGATATTGCATTGAAAATACAATTATTAACATTAACTAATTATTACCCAAGATAACGTAAGAAAAATTATTTTATTCAATTACATAAAATGAGATATATCCTTGTTGTTATATTCTTTCGTATTTTTAAATTAATTTAAATATTAAAATGTCTTTATATGTTGACTTTCATTTTTTTTAAACATGAATTCATAGTTGGTCATGATCAAATCTAACATAACCGAACTATATATTTATTATTTTTTGTATTACTTTTATTTATTATTTTTTTTATTACTTATTCGGGAAAAAACCTCATGCTCTTTTGTTTAAAATAATTAAAAAAAAAGATATATCAAACAAGTTTTTTCTTTTCCAACTTATTTTTAAAAACAGTTTTCCAAAATAAATCTCTAAAACTGTTTTACGAAAAAGAAAAACGAAAATCAAACAAGCCCTTAATTCTCATAAAATTTTAATTTTTATGTTAAGTTTATATAGTTTTTTAACCTATATTTGCTTCCCTTGCTTATTAAGTTTTATTAAACAATAGAATATCTTTTGGAGTAATTTTTTTTTACCTTTTTATTGTCCATTACTATTCCCTTCGTTGGCTAAAATTTATCAAGGGAATAAAAATGTGAACCAAAATTGATAGGGACTGAAGTCAAAATAATCAAATTTTATCAGGATAAAAAGCATTAACTATGAACCAAATTTATTATTTTTGATATTATTTAAAAGGTTAATTTATAAAAAAATTTGTAAAATGAAAAAAATTCTAATATTTATCTTTAAAACATTAATTTAGTCATATATTTTCAATACCTTCAAATATAAATTTAGTTAAATATTCATTCAAATAAGGAACAATTAACTTAGTCAATTATTTTTTATATTAACTTAATTATTCAATTTTTAAATTCTGATTTAGCAAAAAAAATTAAAACGATTTAATTTAGTTGAATACCAATTAAAGTTTAATCAGATATTAATTTAATTATATGTTAACATATAATTTGTTTCCATCGTAAATTTTTATTTTAAGTATATAAATATACAAAGTTAAACATCACTATAGCAAAATATAACTTTCAATACATGTCAGAGAAATAGAGAGCCAATAATACTATTTAAAATTTAGGTTAAATTTAAATATACATACGATGTGGTTATGACAAGGGTGAGAATGAACGGTTGTCGCGATGCGATACGATTCGATTTATTTCTATACTAAAATGTCATTCTAATCAAATAAAATTTTTTAATGTGATTTAAGTAATTTATGTGATTTTTTATTATAAATTTGTTAAAAAATTTTATAATAAAATAATTATCCAATAAAAATAAACCATTTTATGTATATAATATGAGTTAAATTGTTTTGGTCGTTAAAAACTTGATTTTTGTCCTTTATACTTAAAAATTGATTAATTAATCTTTAAATTTATAAAAATATGTAATTTTAATATTTATATACACTTAAATTTAAAATTTAGTAATAATATTTTAGTTTAACAAAGTTCATAAAATAATAAAATATGATTTAAGCATTTCATTATATTTAAATTTCATAATATATATATATATATATATATATATATATATATATATATTACATTTAAGATAAAGATATTTTGTATATCGAAATATAATTTACATTACTATTTTTGTTATACTGATTATATAAAAGAAGAAGAAATTTTATTTATTTTTAATTGCTTATATTCTTATCACTATTATATAGATAATTATATTGTTGGTGGAAACAAGTTGACTAAAGAATTATGGTGAAAGGTAGGAGACATACAAAAAGGTGATCATTATTGGTTCGTCTAGAATGGTGGAACTTTCCATTCTAGATGTAAATATTAAGATTGATAATCACTTCCCTTTAAAAGTAAATGAATTATCAATAATGTTTGTATTCCAATTAGTCCTTGGAAAGAAAGTGGTGATATTTGCAGATAATAGATTTAGAAGGTTTAGCGTCTCCATCTACTTAAGTTGTTATTTAAGTGTAATAACACTACTACAAAATATGTTTTCAACGTCGTCATCTAACGTCGATTAAAGCTGAGACGACGTTAAATACACTTTCAACGTCGGTTGGTTAAAAAACGACGTTGAAAGTTGAATGTTGGACACATTCTACGTCGGTTTTTAGTCAACCGACGTAGAAAATACTTTCCACGTCGGTTCCAGACGTTGAAAGTCCTTTTATTGACACATTCCACGTCGGTTCCCAGATGAACCGACGTTGAATGTGTTTTCACCCAAAAATTCTCTCTTAAATTAGAGAATTGTCACATTCAAACCCAATATTTTAGAGTTGAAAGTTGATACTCCAACCACTAAACTACTGTAATTTTCCGATAATAACTTACAAATTAATTATATTTATATACAAATAAATATATATCCGTGTAAATATATATTTATTTATATATATTTTCTAGAAACTTTTTTTATTTTTCTTCACAGAAAAATTCACTTAAGTTAGAGAATTTGTAATTTTCTGATAATAACTTACAAATTAATTAGATTTATATACAAATAAATATATATTCGTGTAAATATATATTTATTTATATATATTTTCTAGAAACTGTTTTTATTTTTCTTCAACAAAAAATTCACTAAGTTAGAGAATTGTCAACTGATGGATTCAAACCCAGTATTTTAGAGTTCAAAACTGATACTCCAACCACTAAACTACTGTAATTTTCCGATAATAACTTACAAATAAATTATATTTATATACAAATAAATATATATCCGTGTAAATATATATTTATTTATATATATTTTCTGGAAAGTGTTTTTATTTTTTTCGATCAAAAATTCACTTAAGTTAGAGAATTTTCACCGATAGGATTTGAATCTAGTATTTTAGAGTTGAAAATTGATACTCCAACCACTAAACTACTATAATTTTTTTATAATAATTTACAAATAAATTATATTTATATACAAATAAATATATATCCGTGTAAATATATAAATATAGAATATATAAATACAAATATATTTATATATTTTGATATATTTATATATTTTGATATATTTATATATTTTGATATATTTATATATTTATATGTTGGATGTGAGTGCGCATTCGAGGGTGAAAGTAAGATTGACTCTCGCTTGAGTGAAAATACGTTAAAGCTCACGGAAATTCACTCGCTCAAGCCTCGCTTGAGCGAAAATTGGTATTTTTCGCTTGAGCGAATGTGTCACTTGAGCGAATGATGCGTTTCCCAAATTTATTTTATATCATTATGTAAATAAATTATAAATATTATATTTTGTCATTAAATTACAAACTCATAAAGAGACACGCTCACAAATTTTGCATCAAATTTTGATAACCCACTCGACATACACTTTCACCTTCGAGCGTGCCCTCACATCCAACATATAAATATATAATTATATAAATATATCAAAATATATAAATATATTTGTATTTATATATTTATATATTTACACACACACACATATATATATATATATATATATATATTTATTTGTATATAAATATAATTTATTTGTAAGTTACTATAAAAAAATTTGAGTAGTTTAGTGGTTGGAGTATCAACCTCAAACACTAAGGTACTGGCTTCAAATCCTATCGGTGACAAAAAACTAATTTGGTAATGCTTTAAACTTCAAAAAAATATGATAAATAATAGAAATATAATATAAAAGAGAGGGGGAATTTTTAGATAGAGGGGTTGGAAATAAATAAAAAATTTCGATTTGAAAAATCGGACTTTCAACGTCGGTTCTATTTAACCGACGTTGAAAGTTAAAATCGAACTTTCCACGTTGGATCTGGAACCGCCATTGAAGGCCTTCCAGAACCGATGTGAAAAACCTTATTTGTAGTAGTGTAAACACAAGAGGTCATAATAGAGAAGCGAAAATAATTATCATATAAATTAATATAATCTCGTAATGATATATAAAATCTATATTTCAACTTCTTCATCATACTCCATTTATATTATGAAGATTTAAATTAAATTTTTAGTGACTAACAAGATAAATAAGTTCAATTTTAATCACTCTTTAAGTATATTTTCTCATTTCAATCCTCAAAGTCTAACCTTCATCTGCAATGTCATTAGATCTTCATAAATAAAATATTTTATTCTTCAAGAAAAATTAAAAACTATCCAATAATATAAATATAAATTAATGGGCAAGGACCAATGCGAAATTGGAGATAAATATAAATATAAAATGAGACC